CTAACTCATGTTTAGGGTCAATAAGATCCAGAAACAAACAAAAACTTCAGAACCCCCAAAAGTTTGTGTTCTTTGGGGTAGTACATTACAAGTACAAGTATAGGTTACCTATCAAATATATCATGTTCATATATCATGTTTATTATCACTGAGACCCCTTAAACAGCCTCATTAAAAAGTAATGTGCTCAAAGTCATGTTTAGAAGCCGTTCTCATAAAATGAAGGGATGTCAGGTATTGAGGTATTGAGCTGCTAAAACAATGCCATAGATGTTTATTGACTTGTTTATGAGGGCCTGTGGTCTCCAAGATTAAATATACTAATAAATAAAGAGACCATGTTAAGAAAACAATTAACAGCTGTTATTATTCATAGGGAACTTACTAATTGTACTCAATAAACCGAGACATTATTCCACTATCTGTAAGTAGTTTTTAATTTCCCAACATTCCGCAATAATCCATTAAACGTCAGGCTCTCTATAAAAAAATGACCTCGGCATAATTACTGCACATAGTGACATAAAACTACGATTCTCATTCATGGCAAAGCTCTTTACTTCTTTCTTCTAACTTCTCTCTTTCCCTCCCACTTCTCTCTGGCAATCTTCCTCTTTCCCTCCCTCTGTTTTCATTGAAGCCTTAAAAGATCCAGCTCAGCATTCTGTGCACACTCACCAAAGTGCAGCCTACAGATCCTGACTGTAGATTCTTTCTCTGGGATGTCATCTGAAAACACCAGTGGCTAAACATAAAGGGTGCAAAATGAATTTGTCCGCTAAGTAACTGACCTACTTTCAAAAGCAACTATGACAATGTGGACATATTATGGAAAAATTGCACTGTATGTTTCCTCATGAGCAATAGCTGTGTTAAGCCCACATATATACTGTAATTTTTCATGTGTAATGAGTATGCAGTAGCAGAGAATTATTCATGCTAGTGCTATTTTGATATTTATGTTGGTGTTATGGAATTTGTATTGAAATAATGAAAAAAAAACTATTAATTGTTATAAATGGGAAGGGATTGTTTTACCACTTATACAAAATACACTGTGTGGTCAAATCTTCATTTAATTGGGTTGATTGAACTCAAGAAGATTTTACATCACTCAATTTTTGAAAAGAGTTATTCAATTTAAAACAAAGGAAAACAGGCGACTAGTGAAGCTGCCCCCTCTCTGCAGATGTCTCTGTTATGTGTGCTGAGGGAACACGGGCTAAGAGCTGGCAGCCGAGCGCCCTGACAGCTTCAGGGTAATGGGCGCTTGCTGGGCTCGCAAGGCGGGTCGCATTTTCCTGCCAGACGTGTTGCGGTGGGTCTCGCCGGGTGCTGTGTATACAGCCAATTCTTATGTACACATACAGATACACACGCACCACTCAGCAGCCAGACATACACGCAGCCGTGCATTTGATAACCGGACAAATGTGAATATGCAAAGCCAAAAGAGGCAGACAAATAGCCCACCACAGGGAGGAGGCTCTCCCTCGGCTAGAGGGGTGGAACAGGAACCAAAGTTCCACCAGAGCTAAAAACGGTATCTCTATCTGTGCGTTCCATGTAAGAGGTAATACACTTTTTTCCTCAAACACATTATTGTTTCAGTTTGACGAGCAAAGCTTTTTAAGGCAACAAAGCAGCAGCATGTGTCACGGCAGACACTGTGACCTGTGGCGACTGATTTAGACTGGACACAAAGGCCAAGCTGAAGAACTCATTAGCACCTCTGAAAGTCTTTATCTTCCATAAAACAACAGGAGCAGGTTTCTGAACTTCCAGCACCCCGAGGCCACACAGCTGCAATCAACACTCATTCAGAGTTCAACTTTCAGTGCTATAAACTGGTTATCTAGAAACACAATACCATTGTTTCAGTTACCTTGACAAGCAGTGAAGGACTTGACTCAAAACCACAAAATGGACTGCTCATTCACAGATTCATCTTTTTAAGATACAAAACAGATTTCACGTGATGTTTCAACTTTCCAACCTTGAAATGAACACAGGACAAGCTCATGAAAAGTCACCCTGAGCACAGACACACAGTCTCTATTGTATATATCTAGCACAATCATCTGCCAGGGTGTCTGAAAACAGCACACGGCTATTGTATTGTCCATGGTCATAAAACCGTTGGTCATATTATATCTACTGAACCTCAGTCTATGAACCTGTGGTTTGTCTGGGCATAGTAACTAGAGCTGCTCCTTAGGGACAGACAATAAGCCTGTCTATGAAGAAGAAACACTAATGAAGCTTCCGAGCGTGTAGCAGATCCAGATTTGACCTCTTTATGATATTACAGCTGCAACTTTTAACTGTATTTAATCTGAATCATCCTTCACAATATATACTTTCGATGTGTTTTCTAATTAACTTTGATCATCATGATTTGGCTAATTTGGCTTACAAAAGATAAGCAAATGTACAAATAGCTTCTTCTCAATGTTCGGGTGGGAATTGGTAGCTAGCAGCATTAACATTAAACCCAGCCAACAAATAATACTAAGAGTAACATGACCAAAATACTGTAGCAGTCAAAATGTATATAGGCCATGCTAACATGCTTTAAAATAAATGGTTTTAAAAGAAGTGCATGATATAAACATACAAGTCTGAGTTCAATTTTACTTTCACTATATTTCAACCTCCTAGCTTAAATACTGTGTTCATTATTGCCTCACCATGAATGCTATCATGCGGGAAATCTTGTATGTGTATTGCAGCTGCATACAAATGTTTTGTCCTTTTGTTCACAATGAAAAGCAGCGTTGAATACAACCACAAACCTCAAGCATATTGCCTTTGTGGACTTATTTATGTTCTGTCAATTGTCTGTTTAGTAATTACCCTAAGTCCAACATAGTGGATGGCCTATAAAAAGCGAAAGAAGGCAGTATAATCCACAAGACGCTCTGCTCCTCACTTAATAATAAACCCATCTCATCGAGTTAGCAAGATGGCAGCTTTTATTCCATCTGTGTGCAGATGGGCGACGGAGTGGAAGATGTGTTTTTTTGGACTCTACTCCTCTTCTATCTCCCATGATGCCGCTGTTTTAAATGTGAGCCCTTTAAATGCAGCCTGCGACAGCGCTGAAGAGCTAACTGCATACAGCGGTTAATTAGACTTGTGAATGAATCGGTTTTAGACCATCTTCCCTCTCTTTGTTGGTCAACCCAGCTGAAGTGAGAATTACAATGCAGGCACATGAGTAATTAGTTTGAGATGGATGGAATCCCCACTTGCTCAAAAGGTGATGAATTGTGCGTGTGTGTCTGTTTATGTGTGTGTGTGAGAGGGAGACAGAGGATTTAATCGCATTATATTGTCCTGAGAGACAGGCTAAGTGCATTACCACGAATGTGTCAGGAGTGCTGTTTTCACACAGGCTCTGGCATTGAATGTGTAGAATGTGCTCTTTGGGCTCAGAGCAGAGACGAGACTCAGGTCCAAACTCAATCAACAGCAGATAATGTGACAGTCTCTTCACATTGTGTACAGTTTACTTCCTCTCTTTACAAAAAGATGAAGGCCCTGAGGAGGATAATGGACTCCTGGAACAGCTGCACATTGTTGGATTCTTTGTGAGAAGCAATTACTGCTTTCAATGGATGATGTAAAGCATAGTATGTTAGTTAAGATGAGGATTTGTCATCTGCCCCATCAGACCTCAGACCAAATTCATTTTAACTACAAAAAAGAAGCCACTTTAAATAGTCAACCCGAAGAGTAATACATGCATGTTAGCATGACAGAGGGTCAAAGTCTGTTTGTGTCTGGAAAATGCAATAAAAATATGTATCTACTTCTCTTACAGTCAAATACAGGTTATATTATATTGGTGGATCCATGATTTATATGAAACATAATTTGATTGTTAGTCCAGTCACATACTCACATCACATCTAGATTAATAAGTGACTTCAAAGATTAAATCCTTCTATTTAAAAAGGATCCAGTCCTCATGCTCCTCTGTGTTTAAAAATGTGTGGGTGCTTAATATGCAGTTAATAGCTTCAGGATGGAGTTTTGGACAGATCTATATCTTTTCTTGAGGAACACTGTGCACATACAAAAAACTTTTTAAAGGTTTCAACTTATCTTCATCGAGTCTTTATTGTACTTTTACAACTAATGTATTATGTTATAAAGTTATAAAAACTTTTAAGTAGACTGAACATTTCTTATGAATTAAAAGCATGAATAAAATATATAGTATAAACTATTTTTAATACCAACGAATCAGGTGACTGTGTGTAATGCAACTTAAAAAAAAACAAACAGGAATAGTATGTATGGTTTGTGTTTTAGGCAGTTAACAACGTGTGCTGCTTTAAAATGAATGGTGAGATAGGCCAACTATCTAGGTAGTCTTTAATTCTAAAACTACTTCATTATAATTAGGTAGGTCTTTTGATAATTACTTAATTAATTGCTGATTTGTTGTTATTTATGACTCAAAGGTGCAGTGATTATTGCAGTGATACATTTAAACACGCAGTGCATCACAGCACCTGAGTATCCTCAAAAAAACTCATGGACTTGAAACTCAACTCTAAGCAATGACACATAAAATGATTACAAAGGATCACGCTACAACTCTGCCCACGCAGGCAGACGAAAAGCAAGAGCTCCCAGGTGAATCTATCGCTTCCACTTTGTTCATTGTGTAAATGAATAAGAAAACAACATTATAAATATATGTATAGGCAGCACTGCAGAGTAACTACTGTTGTAAGTATGTAGTTACAGGGGAGGGAACACGATCCAGTGCACCAGAAGAATTCAGCAGCACTGTGCCCACTGACTTCAAAAAGCAAAACACCGGTGTTCATGAACTGTGGTTTGATCCACGGAGGTGAAATCTGAAGTCAAGAAGTGTATCCGCTGTACAGCCAGTCCCCTGCATGAGAACAGCTGACACATACACAGACACAAGCAGAGTGTACAGAGGAGGATCGGACGGGTGTGAGACACACACACACACACACCTGATGCTTGTCATGCTTCCAGTCTCAGAGCCAAGCTTGCATCTCTCCAGCTGACTGGCAACAATCTGTCGTTCAGCTTCCAGCTCCCTGGTCAGACGTTCAAACTGCAACTCCTGGAGAGAAAGAGTAAAAGAGAGAGGGGGGGCAGAGAGCAGAACAGAGAGGGTGAGATAATGTGTCAAAACAATCTGACTATTTGTTTACTGTCACATTTACAGCCATCCTCATCATTATTTTGGCTCCGGAGTCACTAACACATTTTTAATTGCTGTTAAATGGACTCTGCAGTCTGTGGTGGGAAAACACACAGTCACACACTGACAGATATTCACTGCGAGGAGCTGGAACTGCGACACCAAACCAAAGTCATCACCAATGTGACATTTGATATCCTGCGACGAGACAACTGGAGGAGAAGATGAAGTTTGGGAGAAGAAATGTTGTTATTTTTGTGACACCAAGTGTCAGCTTCACATGAAAGTATTAGTCTAATGCTTGCCTGACAAATCATCTATACACTCAAACATTATGGATTTGAATCCTTCTGGTAACATGTGGCGGTAGATATAAATGAGAGGAGAGTAGGTTGTCAGCCTCATCACCCAAGTTAAAGACCCGATCTGAAGCTGCAGTAGAGCGCCTCCTACAGAAACGCTGTCACCACACTACTGGACGAATCTGATTACCTATGCTGTATTGAATATTTAAATGCAATAACGCAGCTCCAAAATGTAGATTAGCTGATTGAGAACTGCTTAATATATGAAATATGGTCTCTGGACAATACAGTGCTTTATTGTGGAAGTGTTCAGAATAGGAACAATAAACCCTTGAAGGCTGCCAGTTGTTGTATCAAGAGCCAGTTGTATCGCTCTTGATGGAATCTACATTCTTTGTGGTTGAGTACATTTATAAATGAAATTCTTCTGAATACTGGGCCTCACAAGCTTTGTTTTCACAAATGAATGTGCACTTCCATCCACTATCGTTACGTGTTATTGAAAATGTGTTCATGGAGATAAACGGCTGCAGGTGCTCATTTTCTAGTCTAGTGCCTTTAAGTCACTGCAGCAGAGGGCATGAGATGACAGAGCTCCAATCAAACCTCAAACATGATGAATCTATGGCAGTTATTTTTATTTTGTGATAATTTGAGGAAGGTTACATGATTGCTGCAGTTCTGAAGCTCTATTTGAACAACTTGATGGCATGGTCCAGGTGCCTTTAGGTTCTGTCTAAATTCACTTTTACAAGTTAAACAAGAGAAGAAGATGCAAGGTTATTAATAAGTAATGAATGTGTTTTAGCCACACCCTATTCTCTTTTGAAGCCAGCTGTCTTTAAACCTTGCAGGATTGCTATAGGTAGTTAGAGAGAATGCTTCTCTGCAGACATAAAGGAAAAGACCAAAACACCAGTGGGGGCTCAGATGGGCACAAGTATATCTGCTATTTAAACAACGTAAGACGAGAAAACAATTACAATTACATCAAGACACTTGCATTAGTGCTGCTAGTGTAAGAAAGGCCCACTGATTTCTGAGTCATTTCTAAACTTGTAGTGTTGTCGTTGTTATTTGAATTTGTTCAACACATAGACTTTTCCACATTTGTTGTGATGCTTACATTTTAAATAGTTCATATTTGAATTTCTTGTGATTCCATAAATACATGAAAACATATTTGTAGTATGCATTGTTTTTATGATTAATTTATGTTGTTCATTATGTCATTACCCAATACACAAACAAACCAACAGCTGACAATAGTATTTGTGTCTGCTGCTGAAATGATTAAAGCTGATTAAACGTAACTGATTTCACCAATTTGTGCAAAAGACAATTTACTCCAATTGGATTGTAGATTGTTTCAAATTAGTGAAGAAGATAAAGTGCTTACACACTGAAGCAGTTCGATTGTATCTTAAACTGGCTTCTGACAGTTTTCGGATTTCAGACAATAAAACTGATCGTTTGAACTTCTTCATCTGTCTTTCTAATGAGAGAAATACAGCACTTTGATAAACCCAGCGCCAGTGATGCATATTTTGCTCAAACAATAGCTGTGCAAGACAAATGGCCTGTTGCCAGACCGACACTCCAGCCTCGTGCAGTTTTCAGCCAGACAGAGCTACATCACATGCATGTCATTAAGAGTGAATTAAAAGTCAGACTGCTTTGTTCGCTCGAACACAGTCAGAGAAAAATAGTGAAATTTTAAAACGGTTTGAAGATTTGAAATTCCCTTAACACGTCATAAAATGTACCACTTAAAACAAACATGAGTGCTATTTATAGTAACCACACAATTATCTGCCTATGAGCACTGACGGAGAGCAGAGTGCTGGTCTGTGGGAGCTTAGACGCTGATGATGCTTCAAGCCAATCCAGGCTTTCCACCATAATGATACAATTTGATTATAATGACTCATTAATGTAATAAGTGAAGAAATCAAATTGCAAATTTCACTGTAATTAGGCACAATCTTCTCTTTAGTGGTAACTTTAGTGGTAACTATTTACACATACACACACACATACACAGAGGCATACACCAGCCATTGTTTTAACTGTGTACACAGCCTCATGTAAAGTTTCCAATTGACTTCATGACACAGTTAATTGCATTGTGCTGTTGCCAGTTCTGCTGTAAAACTATAAATCACACTTAATTTTGCAGTTTTGGGGTAGAAAATGTTTCAAATGCAGGGCAGTCTGTTGATGTTAATAAAATGCTTTAATACTGACACACACACTGACACATTGCTGTGAAGTGTGAGTAGTATTAAACAGTGAGAGAAACATGCACTCTTTCCTGTTCACACAACTTCATAATGATGGTATGTGGACTTGTTTACAATGCGCCTCAGATAAAAATATTCACTGCTCCACGGAAAAAAAATCACCTGTGCTGAGTTGGCTTTGTTTACTGCGCTAGTGTTATATAATTTTCAAAATGAAGAAAAAATAATACCCATGTTAAAACGAAATCCTTTCTCTAAACCTATAGCATGGAGTCAGTTATCAAAGGCACATGGATGATTTCAGAGTCTCTGATCTCATCACGTTTAGTCTGATTTGAAGAGAAAACAAAAAGTCTTTTGATGCGAACATAAATCAGCCACTTTGCTAAGAAGCCACATCTCTATTTACATCTCAAACAGCGCTGCATGCAAGAAAACCACATGCTTTCCCCCGTGTGATCCGACTTTTTGCAATCAATACACCCCCATCAGCTGAAGAAAAAGAGCAAAACCGAGGAAAAACAACCTACTTTGAGGCAACATCACCACAGCACATGAAGGAAAAGATGAAAAGCTCTTTTTTATGTATTCCTAAAACTGAGAGCATGTCTGAGAGGGTAAGCAGGCTGACTAACTGGCTGGATTGTGAGTCTGGATGGTTGGAAGGCTCCTCGAAAAACAGCCAAACAAAAGCGNCCCCCCTCCATCTCTGCTCCCTCCAATTCAGGGCTGACAGGCAGACACCTGTTACTGTAGAGAAGAAGCCACAGACCATGGTGGAATGTGTGCTGGTGCAGGATTCTCATGGGAAAAAGTTATAAAATCAAATTAGGAAAGGAAAAAAAGGGAGCACACATACCTTAACATGGACCATATCTTCACAGACAGACACAAAATCACAAGGTATCCCGCCTTTCTTTACTCCCCTCTGGTCAAAAAGCCTCAGCACTCCTTCTCTCTCTCCCTCCTCCAAACACTCATCTGTCCTGGGTCAGGACACAGTGAGCAACAGAGAGAGAGAGGGAGAGAGAGAGAGAGAGACACACACACTACAAGTGTCACTTGAGCTGACTGCAATTCAGCCCCCCTCTCTCTCTCTGTGTCCCTGTCTATGTCTTTTTCTCCGTCCCTCCTCAGGGGCCTTGAAACACACACACACACACACACTGTGTTCACTGAGGCACAAAGGTCCCCATGGCAACGGAGCATTTAGAAGCCCCATGGCATTATTTATGCAACGTTGCATCACAATGGGCCCTCCCACCGGCCGACCTTGCCAAAAAAGCCTGCTGCTCACCAGTCACTCTTTGCCTCTCTTTCTCCACCTCTCTCTCTTTCTCTGTGGCCAGACCATCTGCAACCCCCCCCCCCCCCTTCATTCCCCCACCGACCATCATTGAAAAGCAACAAGGGGTTTTCGGAGAATAGGGGGCGGGAACAGAAGAGACAGAAGATGGATGCGGAGCAGACTCACACACGCTTTAAAAACAGTAGACTCATGTCTCCGTACAAACACACACACATGCCTACAGACACTTTCACTTTCATGTCGACTGTTTAAGGGTTGATGGACATTGCCCTCCTGTTGCACTCCTGTGTTTCCCCTCCTGTCTGTTCCCTCTGAGTTTTTTGTCTTTTCAGTGTGTGTATGTGTTGAGCGTATTTTCGTGGTTTCAGGTTTGGCTCCCGCTCTACGAACCATGTGCTACATCATTTCATCAACCACTCACCTGGCTCAACTATGTAAGCACCTGCTTGTCCACCCAGTCCTCGCCAGATCGATCAGTCACATTATGTGACTTATTGTTAGAGCCAGCGCCTGCCCAGTTAATCCTTGCTCCTGTCAGAATGCCTGTTAGCTTGCCTTGCTCCTCTGTAATTCCCCTTTTCCTGCAGAGCTCCAGGATCACTTTCCTGCTTGTCACTGTATCCAGCTTTGTCTCGTCTGTCTGCTCAGCCCGAAGCCTCAATCCAAACAAAACCTGCCTGTCCTGCTGTCCAACCGATCTACACCGGAACCCTGGAAATCAGCCCTGTCCGTCCACGCACTGATTGGACTTTTGGGTCCTTCATCAAGAACCAGACTCTCTAAACTAGTTCGTCAGACTATAATAAACCTTTAAATGAGGTATTGCACAATTAAATGTTTTTTGAGCTGTAAACTAAATATGACTTTACTCGGACTAACACATCCTACTGGTTTTAATAGCACATTTCTAACCAATTTATTAAAAGTGGCATTTCATGGGTTGATCATGGCTCATGAATTCTTTGTAGTCCTGTGCACAGTGAAAACAGGCGTCACAATGTACAATGAAAATGCCACCCAGTATTTCAAACCATCTTGGACCTTGCAAGGCTAATGCTGAAA